GGCATCCATAGAGGGTGAATGTGCTTGGAAATAAGATGTGTTTTGCGTCATATTTTGTGATGTGTTCTCAACGTGTTATTGTCAGCTGATCTGGACTACGCAAAAACGATTGATGATTGATTTTACATCAATGTCCTATTCATCTTGATTTTTGTGTCTGTTAAATGAGATTGTTGATTCTGACGTGTTACTGTGTTATGTCGGTGTGATCTCGACTTGTGAGGGGTTGTGGTCTCATTCCGCGCTGAGATGGTGGGTTTGTTGTCTCATTTGGTGCTAGATAGCAGCAGGTTTGTTGCCACGACATTCCACGACCTTGTTCAATCGCATTTTGTTGTGAACAGTTGTTTTTTTGGATATTATTGTTGGGGGAGTTTGTTGTTTTTTAAGGGTGGGGGTGGGGGGTACAGTGACAGGAGCTGTGATGTATTTATGTTGCTCATGTTTATTAAATCACACATCTATTTAACTGTCCCCGTGGTTTTATGCACCTGCATAATTTAGCAAAATTTGATCATTTTTTGCCTAATTTCTAACTATTTTCCTATAGCATTCTTTGTAAAAAATTAACAGAATTGCATAATTTCACATTTTTGGGCTCAGTTTGCATAATTTCCCAATTTTTCTTGCATAAAACGACGGGGACATATTTAAATGAACTTTTCAGTTATTACATTGGAACTGGAGCAAAAACTTGTCAAAGACATGTTGGTCACACATTCCTGTATCATTCCGTGATCAGTATCGTCGAGACGAGGTATTCACCGAAAATCTTTTTTCTGATCCTTCACATTTCCTTATTATTTTTTCCTTCTAACCTGTAAGAATCTTGTCAGCTTTTTTTGGTTCACCGATATGCTATTTTTCTGTCTTGATGCGGTTTGGTTTTCAGTCCTCTGTAATTGTTTTTTTTAATAAATCCTGTTTTTTTCTATCTATTTTATTGCAGCCAACTGTAGAAATGTGCTCAAGAAATGTTTTGACAAAATTTAAATTCCTAAATGTTGAAAAAAGTAAGAAGAAATATTTACTGTACGTTAAGTTGTTAAAGACTGACACTGTTGTTTCTCTCCTGTACAATTTTGCTGTCTGGGCTGATTACATTTTAATAGCTCGCTTTTGATATGTATCTGTTTTTTAAAAATCTTGCATTTCATGTATCTGTTTGTACAACGTTTTGTTTGTGATATATTTGTTTTAAAAAGTGGTTTTTTGTTGTTTTTTTTCTCCGACAAACAGCAATCTGTGACAGGCGATCTGTGATGTCAGTATTTATTTATAGCTCTCTGTGATGTCAGTATTTATTTATAGCTCTCTGCGATGTCAGTATTTATTTATAGCTCTCTGTGATGTGCGTTCTTTATTTATTTCTTGCTGTCTGTGATGACGAGTAGACACGTGCGGTTCTGTCGTTGACCGTGAGTGTTGATGAACTGTGGGATGTCACTTACGTTTGTTTGGGCAGACGAGCGCTCCACTTCGGGAAAGTGATGCCTGCATCAACGGCTCTGATCCTATCTAGACTATCCTGCAGTGTCATGTGGAACCACTTCTTCTGACAAAAATGATGATGATGATGATGATAATTGTGATGCCTCATAATAAATTAGATACCCACTGATAGTCTAGCACAACAATAGAACACTGAAAACAGCAACCGACCATGTTGGATGTTTAGGACACTACTGAAACATAACTTAAGTTGCTTCTTCTTTCCTATCAAACTTCTGTTCTCCTTATCTCCCCTCCTTCTTTTTTGTGTATGTTACTCTCTTGTAACTCATAATCTATTCTTCGGCACTTATATGACCTTATTGTTTTCAAGTGCCGTAAAACTCTTACTACAACTAAAAGTAGACTAAGGGACACTACGCCGTCTGTTAGTTTTTATCATCTAGCAGGCACATAGTGAAATTGGCGGAGTGTGAAAATAATTTCATTAGGTATGAATTTTGCTATCTTATCTACATATTTTGATTAAATACAAAATATTTCTACATAATATATTCGAAAAACTACATGACCTGAAAATATGTCCACTATGTGTGTACTAAACTATGCTTTTGTTTATTTATTGCATTTTTTTTTTCTTTTCTGTTTTGAAAGTGATAGTTTTCACCCTAGTGAGATGATTCGCGCACCCACTGGAAGCTTCTTCAAGGTGTACCTTTTCCCTGACCTTTATGTCTTTCAATCACTGACATTTGCTTGTAGGAATTAGTGGCGTCGGTGGCCTAGTGGTTAGGCTCTCGGACTCGCAACCGTAAGGTCGTGGGTTCGAATCCCGTCAGGGGCCCGACGTTGTGTCCTTGGGAAAGGCACTTTGCACAAATTTTCCTCACTTCACCCAGGTGGAAATGGGTACCCGGCTATAGACAGTGAACGATCTTGTCAGTTTGATAGTATTTGAGCGCGTGAAATCAGCAGCTTGCACTGTATGCTTCCGCGGAAGCCGAGAATGTTTCTGAGTGTTCTCAGAGGGTCTGCTGGGGTAATAATAGTTGTAAAGCGCATAGAGCATGCTCTTGAGCATGGATATGCGCTATATAAATGCAATTATTATTATTATTATTATTTTCTTTCCATGCTGGGAGACGCAATGTCTTAATGAGTCAATGGGCGTGTTATCCATAATAACAAAATGTAATTTATTCAATATACACTGATATAAACATAAACATGTATATATATATATATATATGTGTGTGTGAGGCAGCGTGGTGAAATCAGGCGCTCGTCAAAATA